ACTCAAGTGACACCAAGAATACCTAATTCCTGGAAAAGAGGCTGTGAGCAGTCTAAGTAAGCTGATAAAAAAAAAATCCACATACAGCATTTTTAAAGGGGATAGATAAGGCTAGGCCTGGTGGGTTTGCAATCATTAAAATTAGGGTAGATCATAGAACAATAAAACATTAAGGCTGATGTTTTCATCTTTTATACAAAATAACAATGTTTTTACCAATTTCTCAAATATGTAATATTTGAAAAATCGCAAATGTGAGGTTTCTAGGACAATTTATCAGCAATTAATAAATGATTGATGCTGTAGGAAATGTCATTATCAATCACCTTTCATTGGCCTTCCTGATTTTTTTCACTATTAAACAAGAAAAATGTATTTTTTTTTTTTACATCAAATGATAATTGATTTGACTTTATCAGATTGATTGACTTCATACAGCTCAGTTTAGATTGTGGAAAATAGGTATTCCAGATTCCAGTCATCTGTAAACAAAGGTGTTGATGAAGTGTTTGAGACGTTATGCAAATCATTAAAACAAATTGAGCTGAAATAAATCAGGAATACTTTTTCAGTGTATCTAAATAAAGCTTTTGAAAAAAAAACTTTCTTTTTTGTTAAATGATATCCCTATAGCTGTTCTTATATTTTGATATTCATTTTTTGTTTCTTGCAGCTTGAGTTTTGGATCCCCGTGTAACAAATGTCTGGGGATGGTCAAATCAATGGGGAAAAAAAGGTTTTGATATTTTTTGGGGGAAATTACCTTCCTTTTCATTAATGTGCAATGCCTCCATAAAAACATAACTGTTAAGCTAAATATGAAGATCAGTTCACAATAAAGTATATTTTCAGAACAATATTTGTTAGTGATCAGACAAAACAAGTGAATGATGAGTGAAATACTGCAAATAGCTTCATCAGAATACAAATGTACCCTTGCAGCAAATTTCTCAGTGTAGAGACAACATCTATACAAAGCCTTATCCAAATGGAGAGCCTTTGTTTGCAGTTGCTGTGACATATTCATGACTGGGTCCATAATAGTCAGATTCCTGATATATCCCCCAGGGAGAGTAGAGAGAATGGTGTCACATCCAATTACTGCAGCACATACTAGAGGTAAATCAAACCCCTGTGCCATGAACTCTGGAAGCTAGGGTGCTGGCATACACTGCATGAGCAAAGTTATATGAAAATTAATATAATATTGGAAAACACATTTTCCTGGTTACTTTGAGGTCATATATGGATTACACATAGAAATGAAATTGGCTGGAGGCTGTGGTTTGCCTTCTTCTAAAAACATAAATTGACATAAAGAGGATCCAGTAGTGTGTGTTGCAGACAGTGCTTACTCAAGATTTTTTTTTTTCAGTATTATAGATCTGTCTGCCTCTGTGTAGAAATTGAAATTGCAGATGAGGATGAAGATCTGCCCCTCACAGAACGAGAAAACAATCAGGTCACCGTGTTCTCCCTCGAACCTCTCTCTAACCATCATTAAGATGCTTTTCTGCAGAGTGAAAAAAAGAAAGAATGCCTTTGTCTTTATCCTCCACAGTGGTCTTCGGGAGGAACTGGGGTTTTAATGGTTCGGGGGGCATCTCTGCAAGTGCACAGCCCAGTTTCACCCTGGAGCGGTGCAAAAGCTCCTGCCCAATAAAACAGGCTGCATCCCCAGGGCCCCTCCCTCAAGCCTCCAGTCAGCGCTTGTTTTTGCACCATTTATTTAGTGTGACACATCTCCAATTAAACTGTGGAGGCTGCTGCATTCCCCCCATAACTACCTCTTATACCTCCCCATAGACTTTCTGTCACACCGAGAGTGTGAGTATGAAAGAGTGAAAAGGAGAGCTGGTTGGAGGGAGAGAGAGATCACATCTTGCCTGCCAGCTATGATCACAATGTCATTTTCTCCTCAGTGGTTAGGAGCCTCCTCTGAAAGGTGCCCTGAATTATAATTATCAAAATATTGAGCAAGATAATCATCCCCTTTAATGATGCTACCTCTTCACTATTTGCCTGGCTGGACGCATAGCTTTCTGTTTTTGCTCAGACACAAATACATAAAAGACTGAGAAGAGACAGATAAACATGTTTATAAAAGATCTGTCCCTGATTCAAAATGCTTTGCAAATTTAGGAATCTTTCATCTGGGCTGAGTCTCCTTGCCACCCCTTCATCCTGCCACAACGGGCTCACACACGGTCGCAGGAGGAGTGACTTTGTCCGACCCCAATACCGTCTGCAGGAGCGCAGCTGAGGCCAGCAGCTGCCAGGGAGGACTGGTGGGGGAGCGCCCAAAAAGCAGCCTCTGCCAAGCGCCCGGGCCGGGGGGAGGCCCAGTGGCAGCTGCGAAGGGTGGGGCAGCCAGCTGTGGAGCAGCAGGGTGGTGCGGGGTGACGGGCTAAAGCAACAAAATCTTTGCAGGGAAACATAAATGTAAAGATACATTCTAAACACAGGTATGCTATAGCTGTATGGTACGACTAAAGTGAAAATGTCTCATTCTTCCTTGCAGCACTTCTCTTCATCCTTTCCACCATCTGTACCGAAACTGTGGCCCTCTTACCACCCAAAGCAGATCTCCCGTCACGTGCTTTGGCCACACATCTGTTGTACCATCTGCATAACTCCCCCCAAAGTGACAGGTAGTCCCTCTATCTCTCTGGAGGGAGCGGGGAAGGAAAGTGGGGGCGCGGAAGGTGATTTTGGGTGTAAATGTGCTCTGGACCTGGATGCATCTGGACGAAGCAGACATGCTGCCGATGAGGGCATGGTCATTATCAGCTGGATACTCACAACCACATAAAACTATTTGATTATACTGTCACATTATGTCAGGAGCAATAGCACACATCCTGTTTATATTAAGGAGGAATGCTTTTGTTCCCTTAAGAGCTCATACCCCTTGATCTTTGTTAATATTTCCTTAACCTTCCTTATAATTATTGGGATTATACTGATATCACCACACCTCAATGTCCTCTATTTGTCACATTAAATCGATACCTTACTTTGTATGTTTCTAGCGCCTTCTCTAAAATGTTTCCAATTCTTCTTTGCAAAGATAGCTCAGTCAGAGTGAATGAAGCATATCTTTCATGCACAATTAAAAAGTCTAGGCTAGGATTCTCAGTTAGATTTAGATCTCTACTTTGACTAGGCCGTTTAAACATGAATATGCTTTAATCTAAAATGTTTCAGCTTTACGTCATCCTGCAGAAAGGTAAATTGAGGCCATGGTCAATGGTCTCATCTTATACAGCCTTCTAGCCTGGCCAGCCAGTCTGACCTCCAAGGGTAATGAGTCAGTCTAGTAAGGGTCCACACTGCAACAGCACATTTCCTTAACTATAACTGTTAAGGTTGCAGCTGCAAAGGAATGTTTTATTGATGCCCTTCATTGTGTCCAGTATCTCCATTTATGCTAAAATCTAAACAACTGGCTGCTGTTAAAGCTTTAAAAAGAAACACAAAAAATATATTTTTGCTTCACATCTGTAATTATCTCCTGCTTCTCAAATTAATACGCCTTGTATATGGTGTAAATTGGTCTGGTGGGTCAGGCTAACAGCGCTGATCAGGTTTTCTTCCGATCCTAGTCTGTATTTACCTTGATTCATCTGCTTTAACCAGTTGTATTGTCTCTGCAACATTCCCACTGCATGATGGGGCCACCAACATGTTTCACCATGAGATGGTGTGTTTAGGGTGTTTTATAGTGTGGGTTAAATAGTACCGTAGTTAATATTTTGTTCCCATTACACACCTCATTACACATCCTTGCTGTCCACTGCAGGCCTTGTGAAATCCTTTTAAGGCTTTTTTTTCTTATACTTTATATACTTTCATAAAATATAGCAACAAAGTTCTCTTGCTCGTGGACCTTGGCAATTCTACCAGCTAACACTTCCTGGGTTATTCTCTGATTGCTGCATCCCTATCAGGCCTTTCTTTGCAGGTGGACAGACAGCATCTCCAAAACATTTTCACTGTAGTTTCTGTGGGACTTTAGAATGTTGCCTCTTTATGAAGGCTCTTACAGTGCAGCTCTATGTTACTAAGGATAATTAACACTCAGGTAGTATTAGGCAATTTATTGCCAAAGGTGATTTGTTTTATAAAGTAATTTCCCTCTGGGATTATTAAAGTATTTCTGATTCTGAAAGGGATTTGATTAACACAATTCTATTTATGGTGTCACAGTAAGAGGGTATAACTACATTTGTGCAAAACACTTTAGATACTTTGGCCTTAGAGCTGGTGAAATACTTTTTCAATTCACAATTAACAGATGTGTTTGCACTCCAAGCAGCATAAAATATTTTTTTTGTTTTAATATAACAACATATGAGAAAAATCATGAGTTATAACCAGAAGTGGATAGAAATTAGTTACAATTACTTGAGTATCAATTTTAAAAAACGTATTTTTAGGAGTAGGTTTACTGTGCCGCACTTCTCTTATTCTTGTAATATTCTTGTAAAGTATTGCTACTCCTATTTGAGTAAAATATCTGACTACTCTAAGTAATTTGAACTTTTCCAAAATCAGGCAAACATACAGTAAACAGATATTAACAGTGGAAGTTTGTTACCCTGTCCTAACATATATACAGTTCTCACTGTAAGCATGGGTTTTATGTTAAAGAAAAAGATAAAAGTATTTCATTTATTTGTATTCTTTAGGCAATTGAGTCTTTAAAATGCCAGAAATTGCACATAAAGTCTGTTTGCCAGCATATTTATAAACATTCAATCTGATGTCATTATACAATAGTTAATCAGTATTCAAGTAGCATTTTTACCAAATATTTTACTTTCTTTTTTGGGTGACTTCTTTCAACTTTTGAGTAAAAAAACTATAAAGTAGTGCTACTCTCTTTTTGGGTGCTAACCAGGTCTGTTTATAACAACCTTTGCAAAGCAGTACATTTACAATATTCCTTTAAAAAAAAAGATAAAACTCTTAAAGAACAGCCAACAAAAATATATTAAAGATTCTTCTAATTTATTCGAATGTACAGTTCACATTGCCAAGACACATTATGTGACCTCCACTTGAATGGGGTGCAGAATGAAAAATATTAAAACAGCCATATAAACAATACAGAGGACAGTCAGTTCCTCGTCTTTACGCTGCTGTACATACAGGATCAATAAAATATGCACCATAATACAGATATCAAGCCAGTGATATAAAACTGCACAACCAGTCTTTGCTGTGTTCAAGGAATCCACTTCAGAACATATTTTCACATATTATGTTACATATTTGACAGTAACAATATTCATTTCACACAAAACATCACTTGGATGACATCAACTCAGACGTCTCTTCTAAGGGAACGTCATGAGTCCAGCATTGTCAGCTAACAGACTAACACCGCTTGTAGGGATAAAAACAGAAATGATTTTATAAACCTAATTGTGATGGGCTTTTCCATTTACCATGTTGCAAACAAGTTTATGCCTTCAGAAAAAGAAAAAATATAGCAGATTAACTTGCAATCTGCTACAGACAGTTATCTCTCTGACAGCTGTTTAAAAAGGCGGCCTTATTTTTGTCAGGTGCTACGGTTGGAAAAGAAAAAAAAGAAGAAAACACACTTAACACTTTTATGGGTTGTTTTATGCTGCCCATATTTTTTTTAAAGAAATTTTGTGCATTTTTAATAAAATATCCATTTATACAGAGTTCATGTCACATATGTAGCAGACCTAATTTATTAGACATACATTCCAACAACAAAGAACAAAAATGTATGGGATTCACTGCCGTTAAGGAGCATAAAAAAAAAAAAGACACATAAGCTTAATAAAATAAAAAACACAGGCTTAGTACTAGTTTTCAACCTCTTATACAAAGTTAGCTCGATCTAAAAAGCACAAAATAACAGCTTTTTTTTTTTTACAGTATCACATACATCGAGACATGTACCATTGGCCTAGCTGGAAGTTCACCTGCTGCATCTGCATCATTTTATCTTCAAGTCCCAGAACAAGTCCCTACTGCAGGCATTATTGCTTTGTTTGATTACAGAGTTGAAGGCCAGGGAACCGATGCACGCTGAAAATTTGAGTTTTCTTGTCAGAAATCTTTGTCATCACCTTCCTCACTCTGCAATGCTAAAGGATAAGGCAGTTCCAATTTCTTTAAGGCATTGCCACTTTGAAACACTGGAGCAAGGTCACTGACTTTACCATCCCCGTGCCAATGTGCACCATTAACAGGTTTATATTTTAGTAGAGAGGACAAAAAGAGTGGAAAACAGATCTTTTATTCATAAATGTGTTTGTGTCCGGGAGGATCTGAGCTGAAACCATCAATATAGTCTGCTTAGCAGTTGACCAGAGGATAAAACTCAAAGATCAGAGGAGTTGTGTGGGTAAACTGTGACCATTTCTCATTGCTGGTAATTTCCATACTGGCCCTGTAGAGTAAAATATAACAGACAGTTACTGAGCTTTTAAACAACCTTCAGAAATGTGCAAACAAACATCCTAAGTTTCTGTGATATTCTACAAAACATGATTAATGTCTTTGTGCACTGAGAGGTATTGACCAGCAGGTGGCAGCAAGACTTCACAATCTAAAAGCTTTAAGGTAATGTAACATATCTGGTTTGGGCACAAATATTACTTCTGAAATATAGGTAGCTATCTTTAAATAAGAAACTCTGTCAACAGTTCAATTTACAGCATTCCTAGACAGGGGTCGAAGTATGTGTCTGGTATGAACAGAAACTATGAATTTAGAGTTTGATATGACCAATCCTAATATTAGGGGTGTAACAGTACACACAAGGTTTGAAACCAGATTGAAAAATGTTTATAATGATAAGAAGATAAACTACAATTGTTTGAGAAAAGGAATCCTGGCATTACTACTGCACAACATAAGGATATAGGACTTCAAACAATGATTATTCCCTGGTAAAATGTAAACCAAAACAAAAATATATTAGTTTCTACTTGAGTGGAATACAATCAAAACATTTCTAATTCAGGACAGATTTTAATGCTAGATGTAAATGGTCATGCAGAGAAAGTTCTACTTTTATCTAAAGTAAAGCAAGATATATGTTTATATGAGGTGCAATAATGGTCTAAAGCTTAACCTTACAGAAAAATGTTATCATATAGGCTCAGATAAGCACTAAGAATTTAATGTGCGTGTCTGAATGGTTGCAAACGCCACTGGTTGTAAGTTATAGCAGTGCTAGCCTCTGAGACAGATTGAACTAAAAAATATTTTAACTGTTTTGGACCCTCACATGTGCCAGTACACCCCTATAAAATAGAGTTTGATCAATTAATAATTGCAGATCAAAAATAATGATACAGCCTTTGGTTGCAAACAATGTATGCTGTTTTTCTGGACCTCATTACTCAAAGTTCGACCCCTGGTGGATGACAAAATAAGTGTAAAAAAAATAAAGGAAGGGGGGGAAACTACAAAGAAAGAATGAAAGGGATAGATGATAGGCAGAAGAAACATAAATGCAAATTAAGGCTAGGTGGTCAAGAGTCTAGATTTAACGTTGAGGTCTTCACAGCAACCATTACCTTTGCTTCTTATAGAGCTAGTGAGGGGTTCAAATCCCCGCTTCTTTATTTCCTCATGTGCCCCTAAATGTTCAAAGATAAAGATATCAAAGTGCAGCTGTGGTCCCCACATCAGACCACAGGTAATACAGGGCAGCAAATCGATCCCCCTTCAAAACACTGACGCAGTCTGCATCAAGCGGAAGGAAGAATCCTCTTTAAAGCCCTCATATGTCACTGAAATAGGATTCCACATAAGCCACAAAACATAAGCAAGACTGAGAATAAAGAGTAAAAAGGCACTAACACATAACTTCCTCTGGGAAGAACACATTTAACCACCAAAAATGAAAACAGCATGCAAAACAGACTAGTCAATAATGCTTTCTAGGATTTTCATTGATCATTTGGATTCAACATTAATAAGAACAACACTACTGCTAATGTACAAACAAATCTCTGGGACTATCTAGTCCTTTGGCTATACTCACCTGGTCATAACCGTATGGGCGCTGCTGCTGGCCCTGTGGAGGTCCGGGCTGAGGGGGACGATAACCCCCATACTGCTGCCCCTGACTCTGAGGGTAGTTGGGATACTGTCCTGGTCCACTTTGGGAAGGACCTGAACCGAATACAGGGAGACAATAACTGAAAAACATGCTTCAAGTCCAACAACACCCAAATTCTGCGTGCATCGTCAGTTTTAAATGTGTAAATAAAAAGATATGATTTGGTTAGCACAGCCAAACTACAGGCTCTAGTACTTTTCAATAAATTCACTTTTAAGCCTATTATGACTAACTTTTGAAATGTATGCAAAAAAAAATATATATTTTAATAGCTTCCTTAACTTCTATTTATCTGTCCACATTGATTTATTTGTTGACTTTGTTACCTAAACAAGTTTTTACAGTTAAGGGGATGCAACCACACTTATAATCATAAACATAATATAAAGCATATTAAAAGAAATATTAATGAAGAATAAATCCCATTAAACTGTTAGTGAGTTTTCAGCTAACTTTAAAAATAATATTCCTTGTTTTTCCATTTCTTGGTAACAACTAGAGCTGCACATAGAGATGGGCACTATATTCTGTACTTCTATAGGTAAATCCATCGGTACTATGGTGTACTTATCCAAGTAAACCTAAATGCATCATTGTGATACAGAGGGAGCAAGATTTTCTATGCCAGGCATAAACACTGCATTGCACCGTAATAGTATGAGAACATCAGAAAGTATGGTACAGTCAAGAAAGTAAGCATGGCTAAAACATAGCTCTAGAGAGTATGGCTCCACTTTTCAAAATATGA